AGACTGGCGGACGAACAAGGCCCCGGGCTGCCTGGCGATAATTGGACACACACACACACACACACACACGAAGATGCAAGGAGCTAACGTTAGCCGGCAAGCTAACATTGATAGTGCGCGTGCACATGTGCGCGCGCGCGTTACAAGGCGAGCAGGTAGGTCGCTTTCCTCACTTTCGTTCAGAACCTCCACCAGCCCGGCGCAGTTTTCACACATCGTTCGCGCTGTGGACGGCTCGACCGGCTCCGTGTCAAACCATCGCTCCGGACGTGGGAAGGCGGCTGGGCGGCCGGAGGAGGCCTTTGACTTCCAGGCTGCCGCTTGGGCTCCAAAATAGATGCCGACGAAGCGAGGGGGGCCCCCTCTGCGGAGTGCTACAGCGGTCGGCGGCCCGGGCGGGGCTCGGAGTCAGGTGTCGGCGACGAGGCGGTCGACGTTGGCATCCGAGAGCGGGGAGAAAAGGAACACCGTCGGCCGAGCGAGGCCGAGTCAATTCGCAGGCGGCAGGACGTTAGTTGGGAGAGTGGACATGGCCGCCATGTTTAAAACGAGGAATGAGGGCGGGAGGGAGGGAGTTAGGGGCGGGGCTATTGTTTGACGCAGCCTGCGCCGCTCTTCGGCTTTTCGGCGCTTTCCGGTGAACTCGCGGGCAACGCGTTCGGCTTTTCCCGGAGATGTCGCGAGATTCTGTCGTGACCCCTGTCCCCTCCCGACCCCCCCACACGCACACGCGCGTGCGGTCTCTCTCTCTCTCTCTCTCTCTCTCTCTCTCTCTCTCTCTTCTCGTGCACTAGTAAAACCAGTACTCTCTTTTTTTTCCCCATGGTGGTTTTTTTTTTGGGGGGGGGGGTCTGAGATGATTTTTTTTCGTGCGTGTGTGTCAATTCATGTATTGCCACACACACTGGGTCATTGAATCTTTGATGGGGTCTGACGGGTCCCCACACATTACTTCGAAGAAAGCAAAAATCTTCAGGAAATTCATCAAAATAAAAAAAAAAAATAAATAGGCCACTTGATATATCCGGAGGAAAGATTGCGAGTTAAAAGCGCCAAAGATAAAAAAAAACCTCGACTATATATGCTGCTGTTGCGTGTCAGAAGAAACGAGCCAATCGTATGTACTAAACGTCTCGAACCCAAAATTGTTGGCCGGATAATGTCCAAATAAAAAGAGAAAAATGAGTTGAATCACGGGGGGGGGCGCCCATGCACACGCTCCATCTTGCACACCT